CAAAAAAAAAAAAAAAAAAAAGAATATTTGCATTTCTAACCTGAAATCTGAAATCTGAAATGGTTCAAAATCCAACATCACGATGACATTCAAAGAACTACAGAGACTGGGGTTAGAGATGCTCAGATTTGTACACATATGGTCAGATTATGTTTTCCGATGAAATCTGACTTTCTTAGAAGAAAAGCTATTTTTAAAAAGTCAAGCTAAGAGCTGGGCGAGGTGGTACATGCCTGTCATCCCAGTACTCTGAGAGGCTGAGGCAGGAAGATTGCAAGTTTGAGCCCAGATTGGTGACCTAGCAAGAGTCACTCAAGTAAACAAATAGGGCCAGGGATGTAGCTCAGTGTGAATACCTGATTTAATCCTCAGTACTGAAAAGAAAAAGAAAAAAAACTCAAGCTAGCACAAGACAGTTTAACAATCTACTTGACACACATTACATGAATACATGTACAAAACCTTATCCAACACAGACCATAGCCCTGCTGGTATCGTCCCACCCAGAAGACAATTCATTTAAGCAATTCAGCAGTATGACCTGGGACACATAATTGTATTACTAGCTAATCCTTTTTTTCCCCTCTGGTGCAGGGGATTGAACTCAGGACCTTGTGCTTTCGAGGTAGGTGTGGTGTAAAAACCCAGCCCACTAGCTAATTTTTTTATTGGTGGACTTTGGGTTTTCTTACTTTTGTGTTTCCTCTCTCTCTCTCTCTCTCTCCCTCCCCGCTCTCTTTCTCTCTTCCCAGTTCTTTGATTTTGTTTTGGGTTTCATCTGAATTATCTGGGCAGTCTTTCTTTTTGGGTACCGGGGATCAAACTCAGGACCTTGCACTTGCAAGGCAGGCACAGTGCCACTGAACTACATCCCTGGTCCTGGGCAGTCTTTCTATTTTCTAAGAAAACTAACTTTGGGCTGGAGAAATACGTGGTAATTACACCTCTCCCATTTTGCTGGTGCCTTCTCTCCTTCCAAACACACTGATTTACCACCAAACACAATATCATCTTCTCCACCTTCTAGAACTAGAACTAGGGCTTCATCTCCCTCCCTCTTATTATTTTAAATTTTTTTTTTTTTTTTTTTTTTTTTGCTACATCTAGATTTGAACTCACTCTGTAGCCCAGGCTGACTTTGAACTCCCAGTGATCCTCCTGCCTCAGCCCCTCAAGTGCTGGGTTTACAGGTGTGCACCATCACGCCTGGCTTGCTGTCCATTTTCTGGAAAGCCTGTCTGGCATACCTGTGGCTTCCACTTCCTCGTCTGCTCCGTAATTTTCTGAAATCTTCATTCCGCTTTTCCCGGACTGCTAAATGACCCTCAAAGGTCAGCAGTGTGCCCTGCAGTCCTCACTCCTTCAGGCTGTCCCGCTGCAGGGACACTGCTGGAACCTGTCAGCTTCCGAAGGCCCTAGCGCTCCTTCTCCCCTGCCATACACTCATCTCACTTTCCTCTTCAGTCTCCTTCCTGCTCCCTCTCCCTGAACACAAAATGCCCCCAAGGAACTGTCCTTGGCTCACTTCTCGTTCCCCTCCCTAGGAGCTCTTTCTGCCACAGCTGCAACAATATCGTTATGAAGATAACCCACAAACTTTTATTTCTAGTTCTGACCACTTTTTAAACAATATTCCTCCAGATATTCTTCCAGTGCCTCAAGCCCAGCAAGTCCAAAACCAAAGCAATTGTCTTTACAGACAGAAGCTACATTTCCTCCTCTTTATCTTGTGGTACTGGGGATCAAACTCAGGACTTTGCACTTGTGAGGCAGGCGGCAAATCCCGGGCCCTCCTCCTCTTTTTGTAGTGTGTCACCTCGGTTTTGTTTTGGGTTTTCGCAGTACCAGGCATTGAACCCAGGGCTTCGTTCACACTAGACAAATCCTCTAGCACTGAGCTACAGGCCTTTTTATTCACTTTTCAAACAGGATTGTGCTAAATTTCCCAGGCTGGATTTGAACTTGCCATCCTCTCGCCTCAGGCTGGGGTCAAAGGCATGCAAGACCACGCCAGCTGCTTCTCTTAATGGCATCGTCATACCCCGTCTGTGGGGCCCAACCCTTGGCACGCTCATCTTTTCTTTTCCCTCTTGGGAACAGAACAGAACCCTCGATTCTTCCTCTAATGTGATTTTAGTGCATCCTCCTGTCATCAATCATTGCCCATGCAATGTGTTTCTTTTTTCCTGCATCACTTATGTAACAGTACTAGTCCCTGTCATTTGGTGTTTATCCCATTAACACCCACAGATTGCACTGGGTCTCTATTTCATCTTTCTATCCCACACAATGTACCTATGAAGGCTAGGTGTTAAAGAACTAAGGGTAGGGTGCTGGTGGCACACGCCTGCCATCCCAGCCCTTTGGGAGACTGAGGCAGGACGATTGCCTCCAGTTTGAGGCCAGACTGGGTTACACAGTGAGTCCTTGTCAAAAAAAAAATAATAATAAATTTAAATTTTAAAAAACTAAAACTGGAACACGGAAACCCATCTCTCCGGGTGACCCAGCCCCTCGCCCGCCCTCGCGTCTCCCGGAAGCGGAAGTGGCCCTGCTGGCCCGTGGCCTCGCGGACCGCCTGCTCGTTCCGCCGGGCCAGGTACAGCAGCGCGTCCTCGATGGTCTCGGTGGCCACTGCTCCGAACTGGAAGTCACCCAGGGAGGCCGACCTGGGCCTCGCAGCTCTGTCCATGTCCAGCAGTTGTCTGGGGACTTCCTAGCCTCCTGCCGCGTTTCTGTCTTCGCCTCACTTCTGAGGGAACTCGATATCCTGCGCGGCGTCGAGCTCTCGCCTTTTCCCGCGCCAACGGTCGCCGGCCCCTTAGCCAATCAGGAGGCTCGGCCGTCTCCCTAGTCTAAGAGCCAGGATTCTACGGGAAAGCACATATAGACTACAACTCCCCAAATCCCTAGCGGCGGCCAAGGACTACTATTCCCAGCGAGCCCCGCGCCTGCGCAGGACAGAGCGGCAACATGGCGGCGTCGGGTTCTGGTGACCCTCTGGACGCTAAGGATGGAAAGGCCCCATTCGCTCAGCGTATTGATCCAACCCGGGAGAAACTGACTCCCGCGCAGCTGCACTTCATGAGGCAGGTGCAGCTCGCCCAGTGGCAGAAGACGCTGCCACAGCGGCGGACCCGGAACGTGGTGACCGCCCTGGGCATCGGGGCCCTGGTGTTGGGCATTTGTATCCATCCTGTCTGTACCGCTTACGAGATCGGGGGCTGGGAAACGGAAGCGCGTAGAGGGTTGAGCCAAACGTCTAGTGTTTGGGTAGAATGGGCTTAGTGCCTGACTCTTTGCTTTTTTTTTTTTTTTCTCGAGGCTTTGCTTTGTAGTCCAGTCTGGGCCAGGGTGAAGCTCTGTAGCCCTGGTGGATCTCGAGATCCTCCTGTCTCAGCATCTCGGTTGCTGGGATACAGGTCTGCGCCGCCACGCCTGACCTAAACTTGTTATTTCTAAAATCTTTTTGCATGATGTAGTAGTAACGGAGTTGAGGTCTTGGTTTATAAAAGAGCAGAGAGGAACTCCGGAATCGCTGATTTGGGAGAGTGACAGCGGTAGGAAAAGGGAATGTCCATATTCCAAATGGTTTCCTGAGCCCGCCTCCTCAGATGGTTACACCATGTACTCGATATCCCAGGAGCGTTTCCTTGATGAGCTGGAAGACGAGGCCAAGGCTGCCCGAGCCCGAGCTCTTGAAAGAGCATCAGGACCCTGAACCTGGACATTGCCTGTCTTCAACCTGCCAGAGCCTTGTGGAGCCCTTCACGTGGCCGATGCTGCCTGTGACCCCGTGGGAACGAATGCCTTCTCACAGTATCCCTGGCCTACTTACTAACTTGGGACCGCAATTGGGCCCAAGAAGCAGAGAGACTGAATTTGGCCACTTAGTGTGATATCAGTCATTTCCCACACTGTGGGAGAGATTGAGCCCTTGTTTTGTTTCCTTGTTCCTGAGGTATTCGACCTTGGCTTTCCCCAAACTTCCTAACTTTGTGGTTTTCCCCTTCACCTCCCAGGGGCCCAATTGTGATGGGTTGGGTGGGGCAGCTCCCTGCAGTGTTGGAGTCTAAACTGGAAAAGATAGAATCAGTTAAGAACAATAAATTTGAGTCATCTCCCCTGGAGCCAAGCTACCCAGGTGGGAGGGTGGGTGGAGTGCTATAGCTGCAGCCCTGGCACTGCCCCAGGGAGCTGTAAATGTTTAACTAGAATTACTTTTTCCGTGAGATCTTTCCACCTGATTTAAGGGGCCCTTACTGGGCTGTTTGAAACTGAACTAGGTCTTGGGGGAAAGGAAGGTCACCCTTCTGTCCTCTACCTTCAGGAACACACACTTTCCATAACGCTACTGCTTTTCCCATCCCTAGCTCAGAGGGTGAAGGAGGAAGACAGACAAGTGGCCTTTGTTCTTTTTTACTTTCCCTGGTGCCCATCCACGAGGGACAGGTCGGGCTGGAGGGATCTTAGCTTGGCCAGGTGGGTCACTAAGCCTGCACTTTCCTTGTGAGCTGCCAGTAGACACTAGCAGATTCCACCCATGCCCCTTGTTTTGTTTTTTGTTTGGGGATTTTGTTTTTAAAGATGGGGTCCTGCCACGTACTCCAGGCTGGCCTTGAACTTGTGGCAAGCCTCCTGCCTTAGCCTCTGAAGTTCTGGGATTACAGGTGCGTGCCACGCATGCCCCCTGTGAAAGTAAAGTCTCTTCTACATCCTCCCCTGCTTTACCCAGGACTGCCCCAGTTCCTAAGGCAGGACAGGAACAGATTCACAGTCCATATCTCAGCATTTTTTATTGGTCGCTGCTAATTCTGGTGTCAGCTGGGAATGAGCCCTCTAGAAGCCTCTGGGCCTGGGTGGGATGGCATAGTGGTTGGCCCTTAGTCGGAGCCAGGGTGAAATGACAGTGGGCTACAGACCTGCCACCTCCATGTGGCAGCACACAGTCCCCATGGGTGTGACACTGTACTCTCCACACCCCGTGTCCCGAGTCCTGGGTCCATGTTGAGCTGAGCTGTCCAGAAAAGCATCTGATTCTGAGAGCACGGGTACCATGGTGGACCCTGGTGTGCGGAGACGCCGGCTTCTGTTCTGAATTCACTGCAGGGGAGAGGAGCGCTGAAGCCTCCCAGGTGGGCGGAAGGCAGCGCTGCTGGACGTTCCTCCCATAGCCGCCCTCACCATCCTGCCAACATCCCCGGCGAATGTCACCCCCTTGCTTGCCCGCTGCTCCTGGGAGCCCGTGCTGCTGCCACTCAGGGAGGTCCTGCGCCTGATCCCTGGGAGCAGGACCAAGAGAGCAGGGTGAGCGAGCGCCGGTCCCCGACCGCTGCAGACCCCAGGCCCCGGGGAGGGGCATCAGGAGAGAGACTGCGGCCCTGCGGCTGCGGGCTCACCGGGGCCTAGGGGCTCAGAGCGCTGCAGGCTGTTGCGCCGGGAAGCAGGGAAGCTACCCT